TGCTGCTGCAGCTGGTGGGTACGGGGCTCTATTTTTTTTTGTTTTTTAAAGGGTTAGGACTAGGCTGGGGCCGGGGTCATGCTGGGCAGCCATGGGGTCTTCTCCTGTAGGTCCCTCAATCCGGGGAGAGGCAGGCATGGCTGGAGGAGCCACGGGAGAACCTGCAGCCACCTGGCTGTGCCTGCCTCTCCCCAGTCAATCTGAACCTCTGAATCAGTGCTGAAGCTCCAATTCTGACTCAGCTGAATCGATTGGGGACAGTGATTTGAATCACCAAATTGAACTGCTGTCCTCAGAATCGGCCGAATCCAAATCGAATACTTCACGATTTCCACATGCCTACTGTAGAGTGCCACACAATATTAACACCGTTAGGTGTGCAAACACCTTACATGATTCACAAGATAAACCAGAGATTTCCAAAAGGAATCCAGTGTGTCAAAAATCATTCTGATCTGTTATGGTCTTTATGAGCTCTTTGCAATAGAGGAACTGCTCTATTATTTTTCCAAGGTTGAAAAATGAGTGAAAGCTACAAACTGGCAGTTTCTGAGGGATGCCTAGAGTCTGATGAGGTTAACAACCACTGCTCTACTGTGTACTGAAATCCTTTTAAATCCCCCCACACTTGTTAATGTATTTCTGTGGGAAGTGGAACTAGCTGGAAAATGGGTTTTTCTATGAAAAAAAAACAAAAACAAAAAAAAAACAAAAACAAAACAAAAAAACCCCAGCAAATGATCAGGAGCCTGGGAAACAAGAGTTATGAGGAAAGACTGAGAGCTAGTCAATCTGGAGAAGAGAAGACTGAGAGGGGGATTCAATAAGTCTTCAAATACCTGAAGGGTGATTATGGAGAGGACGGAGATGGGATTTTCTCCATGGCCACAGGAGATAGGACTAGGAGCAACAGCCTCAAGCTGCAGCAGGGGAAACTGAGATTGGAGATGAGGAGGAACTATCTGATATGAGGGTGGCCAACACTGGAACAGGTTGTTTAGTGAAGTGGTGGAGTCTCCATCCCCAGGAATTTTCAAGGGCAGGTTGGACAGACACATGGCTGGGATGGTTTAGTCAGGGACTAAACCTGCCTTGAGCAGGGGGCTGGACTAAATTACCTTGTGAGGTCCCTTCCAGCCATAATTTATCAAAAAAGGTGAAGGTTTTGGCTTTCAATAAGCTGTCACAGTTGGACAAGTATTTTACATAAAAATTGGTATACTTTAAAGTCCCAAAACAGGTTTGATTGAAGATTTTCAATCATCCCAAACAGAGAGATTCTTAGTTGTGTTGTGTTCAGACTGAGCATCGTGTTTCGGGAACCAGACACACAAGCTGTGAACTCTCAGCCATGCCCTCACTTTTCAGCACTGTTTGTTAACATCTGCCTTCAAGCAGGCAGCACGTACCTTTGTTCGCAACCTCTGTGCAATTTTTTCAAATTTGCCTTTTTCATGAAACTTAAAGAGACGTTTCTGACGCTGGGCTGGGGCTATAGAGACCCGGTGGTCAAAATAAGTGTTGGATTCCATGTCCTCTGAAGGTTTCTCTTTGAGCTGCTGTTTGAATTGCTCCCTCTTCACAGCCCTGATGTTCGCTTTCAGTGTTGGCATGCGGTGAGTCAACTCAATCTCTTTACCAGAGGCATCAACCGTTCGACCTTGTTCATCCAAGATCAATGGTGTCGGCTTTGTCTGATCCTTTAGCTCTACCTTCCTAATGCAAGAAACATGTATAATGTTAAAATACAGCCACAGCATTAGCTCAGAAAGAAGTAGAATTGGCGTTGTGACTACACACCAGTGTATCTACACCTTGAGACAACTCTGGCCTGCTTCACATCATCTCAGTATGCCTTTGCAACCAAAAAAAGGGAAAATGACCGCAAAAACAACTTGGTATAACAGCAACCAAAGGTTAGATGCCTTCCAAGCCACCGTAAGGCTCAAACTATCAGTACAAAGGTTTCTGTGCTGATTGCTCAAGAAAAAATAATCAATAATCCAAACATTCCCTGTTCTCAACAATTTGGGAACTAGTAAGTTTTACCCTTCCCAAAAGCTCCATGTCCATACTATGAACCCAAGCCTCACTGACATCAAGGTTTCCTGGTACCTTTCCAGCCATGTAGATGCACCTTTAGTTGAGTCTAAGTGTCACATGATTCAAATGTAAAGGAGTATGAGTGGTACAAAGGGACTGTAGTGCAAATATAAGGCTACAGTGTCCTGTTCCTGCCCTGGTCAAGATTTCCAATTGTTATCACTTGCTCAGCACTAGGGCAGATCAACTGCTGGAGACCTGCCTGGCATTTTCAGTCACTCAATGAGCTGGTGCTGCTCTGAGCAGCATTACACAGCAATGAGGCCAAGTACCAATAGCTTACCTATCCCAGTGCTCCCCTCCCTGCCATTATTGAAGCCAACCATGCATCAACAGTGAGGTCATTTCAGAAAATGCCTTGCAGAGAGAGCACCAAACAGGCTCAGCCCAGATTAGATCTAGCTGTCCCCAAAATGGACTTAACATGCAAAGACAATGAGCAAGTGATGTGGTTGGGGTGATGAACTGCAGAAGCTAAACACTGGGATGGTAGCAACTGATGTTCCCAAGCAAGTTTAGTTGGTCAACAGCAAAGTGAATACACAGGAAAAAGTGGCTATTTGGGGATGACAAGGCTGACAACAAATGCACATCAGGATTCTGGGCTATTTGTCAAGCCGGTTGTACTCACGGAGGTGCAATTCCCATGGCATGCAGATTGGCCAGCCCCACCATGTTTGCATTGCCGATGAGCCCTGGCTTCAGAGCCAGCTGCGCCTGGATTCGGGCCTGTAGCTCTGCTGCTTTCCTGGCTTTTTCAATAGCATCATTCATGAAGGTGGCTGCCTGCGAGGGCTGGATGGTGTTGCCAATAGGCAGGCGCTCCTGCTGGGATGAAGAGGAAACTTTGGGCTGCAAAAAGAAGAATATTTCCATTAGATGCATCAGAAGCAGCCTACAAGCCACTGTTGGAAGAAAAAGGCCAAGAGGCCACTTGAATCCCAAGAGACAGGATTTTTGCCCTTTGCTTCCAGGCTGTACCTGTGGTGCAGGAGGACTGATGAAACTCAGTTGCTTTTTCCTCTCCTCAATCTGACGCGTGGCTGCTTCCATCATCTGTTTGATCTGCAGAAATAAAGTTGGTCGGTTACATTTCTTGCTTTTCCTTGTAAAAAGGCAGGACTAAAGCCTTCCTTGGCTCACCAAGACTCCCCACCCCTGTGTGGCAAAACCTACCTCAGTTTTCATACGGGACAATTCCAAACAAATCACCTTCAATTCAGAAGCAAGCACCTAATTGTGTAGACACTGCATTGCCCAGACCCCTTTCTTCCCATTCAGATCACCCCACAAATTCACTGTTTGCTTGTTTAATTTGTGAAGAGATCATTCAGGGTTTCCTTTTCGGGCAATTATTCTTTGCCATGTTCAAGTGTGCATTTTGTGTGTTCCAAAAGAAAATGGAAGTACCTGTAACACAACCGCCACCCTATTCCTAATCAAAATCAACCTGCTCATTCAACCTGAACTGTAAAGACTGAACTGCCTTTTCCTGGGGGAAAAAACACATTACAGTTCTACAGGAGGCCTGCTAATTCTACAACACTCCCACTAGCCTTGATGATATTAGTCAACCAACTAAAAAAGCCGCAGTGCATTGTTAGTAAGATGCTTCACGTGTCCAAACTTTATGGTCAGCCTTATTTTAGATTAAGATGTTAGGTCCACACACCATGTTTTCTGTATCTCCAGAACATGTAGGTTTTTGACAGTGCGTGCATAAAGAAAAAATGAAATTGTATTTTCCACAGCACACAGATAGTGTTCAGCTCATGAAGAGTTTCTATTTTATGTGAACACTGCACGTAAGCCAGGCTATTTTAAAGAGTCCAAGGAACTGCATTTTCTCCATTTACTGACAGTGTCCCTTAGCTGACTTTATTAACACTTCAGTGTCTATGATGTGCATGGGTTCAGCAATACCAGAAGAGTATTTGCAATTTAAGTGATTACTTGCCACTTTCCCTTCTCTCTAATTGTCAAAAATGGTAAAGAACTAGCTTAAGATTGAGCTGCGAAAGCTGAAGTGACATGGGGTATTAGTAAAAAAAAAAACCCAACCAAACAAAAAAACAACCACTAAAAGGAAAAGCTGCTTGGCCTTCTTTTTTTTTTTTTTTAAAGGATGCTAACTCCTTACATTTAAGTCTCTAGGCGCAATATAAGATACCTGGACTACCGAGATGTTAAGACTCAGGATCTC